CTAAACAATGTATTAAATATACTCTACTAAACAATGTATTACTTACTGCTACATACTCTACTAAACAATGTATTAAATATACTATACTGAACAATGTCTTACTCACTGCTACATACTCTACTAAACAATGTATTAAATATACTATACTGAACAATGTCTTACTTACTGCTACATACTCTACTAAACAATGTCTGACCCACTGCTACATACTATACTAAACAATGTATTAAATATACTCTACTAAACAATGTATTAAATATACTCTATTAAACAATGTCTTACTGCTACATGCTATACTAAACAATGTCTTACTGCTACGTGCTCTACTAAACAATGTCTTACTGCTACATACTCTACCAAACAATGTCTTACTGCTACATACTCTATTAAACAATGTCTTACTGCTACATACTCTATTAAACAATGTCTTACTGCTACATACTCTACCAAACAATGTCTTACTCACTGCTACATACTAAGTACAAACTTTTTCTAAGTGATAAACAGCTGGTGTTGTGTGGTGACAAGATTAGGATGTGTTTGATTGGTTTGTTTATATAGATAACACTGGTCATCAGCCTAACCTAAACTTGGATAACTTTAAAAGAACATCTTGTAAATTCACAAATATTTAAATATTTTTACATAACATGATTGGAAACTACACAGTTCTGGATTTGTAGACCTAGCAATTCTCGATAATAAGAAACATCACAGTTCTGGATGTGTAGACCTAGAAACTCTTGATGATTGGAAACTTCACAGTTCTGGATGTGTAGACATAGAAACTCTTGATGATTGGAAACTTCACAGTTCTGGATGTGTAGACTTAGAAACTCTTGATGATTGGAAATTTCACAGTTCTGGATGTGTAGACTTAGAAACTCTTGATGATTGGAAATTTCACACTAAGTCTACATATCCAGAACTGTGAAGTTTCCAATCATCAAGAGTTTCTATGTCTACACATCCAGAACAAACTCTTGATGATTGGAAACTTCACAGTTCTGGATGTGTAGACTTAGAAACTCTTGATGATTGGAAACTTCACAGTTCTGGATGTGTAGACCTAGCAACTATCGATAATAAGAAACTTCACAGTTCTGGATGTGTAGACTTAGAAACTCTTGATGATTGGAAACTTCACAGTTCTGGATCTGTAGACTTAGCAATTCTCGATATTAAGGAATTTCACAGTTCCATATCTGTAGACCCAACAACTCGGTCCGGCATGCCAGGTGGTTAGGGCGCTCGACTCGCAATCTGTGAGTTGCGGTTTCGAATCCCTGTCAAACAAAACATGCTCGCCCTTTCAGCCGTGGGGGCGTTATTATGTGACGATCAATCCCACTATTCGTTGGTAAAAAGAGTAGCCCAAGAGTTGATGGTGGGTGGTAAATTTACAAGTATTTAAATATAAAATTACAAATGAATAAGTTGTGTATCAGTTTTTTACATAACAAATATTCATGACTTACATTCAAAACATTTTATACAAGTTTTAAACTTGAATCCCAGATTTAAGCCTAAATGTTTTTGCGTTACTTACTTACGTTTTACGTGTTATCGACGATAAAAGATGAAAAAAACATTTAGTTTACACACATCGCAGTTAAATATATATAAGCTATTCTTATTTACGTCAACATTTATCGAAACGTTAGCTGTGTATATAATTTCTAGTAACTTGTGTTTTATCCAGAAATGTGAGTTTTAGATTGTTAAACGGAGAGAATTAGAAATTCTTAGAGTGAGAAACGGAAGGGGGAATCTTTAATAATTAGGCACAAAAAAAAAAAAACGCACGTCATTTTCCTTTGAAAAAATTAGACTTGTTAATATATATTTCTACAATAATATATATAAACTGTGATAATTTGCATAATAAAAGAATTACATTTATGTACAACAGATCGTGATTAGAAAAGTGTACAGAAAAAGTTTGAATTACAGTTTATAAACTACAACGTTTCAGTGGACAGGCAATGGTACAGTTATCCAGTTCCTCGAGGTATTGTTAATGCCTAATAAGTTTCATCTGCGGGTCGCGGGTTCGAATCTCTGTCTCACCAAGCATTATTGTCTATTCAGCCGTAAGGGTGTTATAACATGATGGTTAATCCTACTAGGCCCGGCATGGCGAGGTGGTTAAGGTGCTCGACTCGCAATCTGAGGGTCGCGGGTTCGAATCCCCGTCACACCAAACATGCTCGCCCTTTCAACCGTGGGGGCGTTATAATGTGACGGTCAATCCCACTATTCGTTGGTAAAAGAGTAGCCCAAGAGTTGGCGGTGGGTGGTGATGACTAGCTGCCTTCCCTCTAGTCTTACACTGCTAAATTAGGGACGGTTAACGCAGATAGCCCTCGTGTAGCTTTGCGCGAAATTCAAACCAAACCTAAAAAGTTTACACATGTTATCGTTCCCGCTTTTTGGTTCAAAAAAGGAGTTTAAAATCTGATCGATATCATTCTGAGTCTCTTTTTCGTGGTTCGGCTTGCTTGAAGGGATAATACCTTCGATTAGGGACTTTAAATCATCGCTCTAACATTACTGCACAGCAATGGTGCTAAAACCAGTTAGAAATACTGTTCCTAATAAATAAATCAGTATTCTTGATGAGTTGTCACTATATTTGTTGATGTTCTATTAGTTTCTGGTGATAAACTTAGTGTTTTGTTTCAACCTACCATTAGATTAGATCAGTACACATTTATCAGTTCCTTCGTGAACGGATGAAACAAAAGACTTTGTCCAAACTTTCTCAACATTAAGAGTTTAATGCTTGAACTGATAGAGATGTATAAGTTTGATGGCTGAATAATTTCTATTCAAATTTGGTTTAAACTGGTGAATAACAATTGTCTTCTGTTCTCGGAGTGTCCATCATAAGCTATTGGTAGTACTTTGAAATGTATGGTTCTGGTCTCCCTATCTTTAAGTTTTCTAGCATACAAATACTTTTTTAGAAGAACGTTATCAGATGATAAAAAATTCAAAAGTTTATAGCAAAAGTACATTATGAATGGTCACTCCAAACAAAAGAGTCTATTCTTTGGTCACTCCAAATTAAAGAGACTATTCTCTGATCACTCGAAACAAAAGAGACTATTATTTGATCACTCCAAACAAAAGAGACTATTCTTTGGTCACTCCAAACAAAAGAGACTATTCTTTGGTCACTCGAAACAAAAGAGACTATTATTTGATCACTCCAAACAAAAGAGACTATTCTTTGGTCACTCCAAACAAAAGAGACTATTCTTTGATCACTCCAAACAAAAGAGACTATTCTTTGGTCACTCCAAATTAAAGAGACTATTATTTGGTCACTCCAAATTAAAGAGACTATTCTTTGATCACTCCAAATTAAAGAGACGATTCTTTGATCACTCGAAACAAAAGAGACTATTATTTGATCACTCCAAACAAAAGAGACTATTCTTTGGTCACTCCAAACAAAAGAGACTATTCTTCTTCATAAGTTTAAGTCGCAGCTGGACATGTCCTTGTTGGTCAACCTACTCTACCTTTGAACCTTTACGACTTATGGATGTTCAATGTCCCAAAAAAGTATTAGGAGCAGTTATGGGTGCTTGAGTCTATAATCCCCCACACTTAGGCCCACCTAGATCAGATATTGGTTATTGTTGAACCCAAACTTAGGCCCACTCATCGTTTCTAGGCAGGTATAGGAAAATTAAAGTTAAGTAGTGAAATAAAAACAAGTTGATATCAACGAATCCCTGGTGGTAACCAATTACTTGGAGGTGGTATTCCTAATAACCACATAACCTGTAGGGTCATCTTAATGAAATGTGTGGATCAAGAAATACTACTTTTAAAAATAATAATAATGATTTCCCTCTAAAGTGTGAAGGCAAATGGATGGCTGATATGAGGTGGCTGTGTGGAGGTTTGACAAATAGAAGGAAACCTATAGAAGGTAAATAAGACAAAGCTTCAAGAAAGAAAGATTATTTTTGCTACGGAATATTTTCATTAATATTACAAACACTTGTCTGTAGTACAAGAGTCTTTGTCATTTCGGTGCATATTTTCATTATGGTAACACACTGACTCTACAAATTAATTTATTGGTTAAAATAACATGAAAGTTTTACTCAGTAAAGATGTTAAAAGTTGAATGTAACTCCATAGAATAGCTTATACAAGCTCATGACACAGATATATAAAATAATGAGATGTATTGGTAGGATACAAAACAGTGGTGTTTAATATTATAGGCCCTTTCTTTAGAAGTGACTGTTGTTCAAGGTTACAATTTAATTTTCTCACCGGACTCAAGTGTACACTTTTCAACCTCACTGAGTAGCTTCGAAATTTACTTACTGTGATTGGCTGCAAAGACAACAGAGCTAATTAGCGATGATAATTTACTTACTGTGAATGGTTGCAAAGGCAATAGAGCTAACTAGAGATTGGATATTTATTTACTGTGATTGGCTGCAAAAACAACAGAGCTAACTAGAGATTGGATAGTTTTTTGCTTGGTAGGTTTGCTTTGTGATGGTCTCCAAGTTAATTGCAGACATTATAATATATGAGATGTAGCTTTTTCTAAACTTTTTGTTGGAAAGTTTAGGAGAGGCAGAAAATTTTCAGGGGTGGTCACCTTTCACCTCCTCTTGGCGGCGCCACTGGACACAGAAAACTTCAATAGTAAGAAACTTCACAGTTCTACACGTGTAGACCCTGCAATTCTCGATAATAAGAAACTTCACAGTTCTTGCTTGGTAGGTTTGCTTTGTGATGGTCTCCAAGTTAATTGCAGACATTATAATATATGAGATGTAGCTTTTTCTAAACTTTTTGTTGGAAAGTTTAGGAGAGGCAGAACATTTTCAGGGGTGGTCACCTTTCACCTCCTCTTGGCGGCGCCACTGGACACAGAAAACTTCAATAGTAAGAAACTTTATAGTTCTACAGTTCCCTGCAACTCTCGATAATAAGAAACTTCAAAGTTCTGCATCTGTAGACTTAGAAACTCTTGATGATAGGAAACTTCACAGTTCTGGATCTGTAGACCTAGCAACTATCAATAATAAGAAACTTCACAGTTCTGGATCTGTAGACCTAGAAACTCTTGATGATAGGAAACTTCACAGTTCTTGATCTGTAGACCTAGAAACTCTTGATGATTGGAAACTTCACAGTTCTGGATCTGTAGACCTAGCAATTCTCGATAATAAGGAATTTCACAGTTCCATATCTGTAGACCCAACAACTCGGTCCGGCATGCCAGGCAATCTGTGGGTCGCGGTTTCGAATCCCTGTCAAACAAAACATGCTCGCCCTTTCAGCCGTGGGGGCGTTA